ACAGGGTGTCCCAAAAAACCCAAAACCATTGAAATAACGTTTTGTCAGAATTTGAATGCCCTAGCACTAAGCTGAATGCAAAGATGCGTAAAATATTGACAAGTGTGCATATATTTAATATTGACTTATTAAGTTAAAATATCTTTGTGAAGCGCACGATTTTCTGCTCTTGGGAATTTAAAGCAGCTTCTTAAATAGTTTCTTTATGCATAAAATTTACTTATGTCAAGCTTTTATACACTTGTGGGTTCAGTTCTGAGGCATTTAAATTCTAACAATACGTTATTTCAGTAGTTTTGGGGTATTTTTGGACATCCTGTATATGACAAAAAATCCTGTTGATTCACATAAATTTAGATTTGATTTTCTCGGCTTAAACAATGTTGATTTTTAAAATTACTTCGCGAATGAACTCTTAAGATGGGTCGCTTTTTAAGCCATTTAAAACACTCAGATAAGACGCCAGGCTGCCGCCTCGTGTTTTATATCTGATAACGCACTCCTACTCGTGTTTTAAATACTACGTAATCCACTTTATCGCCATTTTGAGTATGTTGGGCTTATTTATATTATGCTTAATATATTTTCGGTATGTGTAATATAATATTTGAATAATTATCAGAATATATCCTAGTATTTATACTTACTTGGTTCTAATTTGTCCCCAGGCCCCCATATCCTGACCGTCCCATCGTCACTTCCAGATGCTAGCATGCTGGGTATCTGTGGATTCCAGTGGACACAGTTAACTGTCCTTGTGTGACCACTGAGAACCATGATAGGATCACTGTGTTTAACATGCCATATATACACTTGATGATCTAAAGTCAGAATGCGGAAGGAATGATATGATACAATTACTGCAACGTTTCTTTCAAAACATAGACGGCTCTCACTGTTTCAATTTTACAGAAAAACTTTCTTACGAAGTGCAGACGCTCAGCAACCAAAAAACGTCAAATTTTCACTCCGATCTATCATTGAAACGTTCCCAAGGAGAAGTGCATGACTTTTTAGGGGAAGTGCAAAAATTCTCAGGGGAGATGCGCACTTCTCCACAAAATCCGGCCATGGTTTGTATCCCGTGGTTTGTATCCCATATTTTCCAAGAAAATAGCAGCCACAACAAGAGATAAAATACCTTCACTCCCACTAGCGATGAAATCTTGATTAAGACCACCAAAACACGAATAAATAACATAAAAACCGTGAGTTATTCCCTGATATTTCCGTATTAACACGCGATCTTTAGCATCCCAGAGATGAAGACCCTAGGAAAGAAACAACAGGATGAGGCGATTAATAGGTGATTCCAGCTATAATTTGATGCAGACAAGGACGAAATATATCATTATAGCTTAAAAGAACATCCTTAAATTAGTAAAATTGCCAAATTTGGTTGCAAAATGTTGTAAAATACGGAAAATATAGCCCTGTGAAATTAGCAAATTATTTGGAGTATTTTCACGCGCGGAAAAATATGCACCACTTTTGAGCCGAACATTAAGTAATGTGATTGATCATGCGGATCAGCACGAGGTATCAAATTGATGAACGTAAATATTGAAAAGTTGGCCAATCATTATTAGCCAATGTGCTAGCAACAGCACAGTTGGTCATGCAGGCATTTGTCAGATCCACGCGAAATTATTATAATCTATAAGGCGTAAAAAAAATACCTGTGGTTCCGGTTTCATATCGTGAAAAAATTAGGGTCGGTAGGTCGGAAATTATTTTTTTTTTAAATTTTTTTTATGGTTTTGGCGTTTTTTTGCTTGGCGATTTTCAGTAGAGTCCCGACATCAATGTTAACTAGAGATGCGTATTTCCTATGGACGAATTTAGGCAATTTGGTTCAATAATTAGTGTGACAACAGACGCCATTTTGGCACGCTTTATAAGCAGCCTGCAACCACCTGGAGAAAATAGGGTCGCACGGTCAATCGCGTTGAAAAAATAATAGGGTCGGCAGAAAAAATAGGGTGGGTCGGGAACCGGAACCACAGGTTTTTTTTGTGTTTTTTTACGCCTAAGCAAACTGCAGAGTCTCATGCAGGGTTGACGTTAAGAAACACAAGATGGTGAAATGAACGGTGGAGTATATACATACCTGTGAGGCAACGTTTATTAAAATATGTCTACCATCGTCTGAGACAGAAAACGACATTATTGGGTGATCTTCTTGAATTCTGCACAAAACAAGAAAACACCATCAATGGATTATCAGTGGAAACATGATCAATACAATCAATGGATTATCAGTGGAAACATGATCAATACAATCAATGGATTATCAGTGGAAACATGATCAATACAATCAAGGGATTATCAGTGAAAACATCATCAATACAATCAATGCATGGAAGCATCAGTCGCAAGTGAGAAGAATAACTCCAGTTTAAGTTTTTCAACATTGCTGTCGGGCAGGTTCTCTCCATGGTCTTCGGTTTCTCATCTAGTAAGACTGGATGAACAAGAGATGACCCTTACTACAACATCTTTAGAGACACCAGCAGGCATTCAGCCAGGCCAACCGTCCTATGGACGGCCACTTTTTAATAGACGGCCATTGACGGCCTAAGAAAATGTTTTCATTATAAACAGCAACTCGCAGGCTTTGATATTTCGTGAATACCTAATATAAAAAATTGTCAGCTGTTGTCTATCTATTCTACAAGAAAAGACGCTGAATTATGAGTATATGACCACTGATTTCAAGCTCCATGTTTTTTGACCATGTTCATGAAAATAGGGTTGTCACACCCATGGTATTTTTTGGATGGCCAGTTTTGACACACTGGCTAAAAGCCTGGACAGCAGTCTAAACTGGTAGAACCAGAACTGACAGAATTATCCAGTCTATAGTTTATAGGTTTTGTAGGATTGCCTGGCGATAAAACATATAATACTTTTTGTTTGTTGAAACACCACATAAATTTATTACTGCAGTAATAAATTTACGTGGTGTTTCCACAAACAAAAAGTATTATAGAGTCAGATGAGTTCACGGAGAATCCACAAAGAATCATTTCTGCACTTACAAATTATTATCTGATAAATCTTCAAAATTATAAGTTCGAATTCTGTTATGACTATCTGCAGCTAAAACGGTTTTCCCATCTTTTAAACAATGTAAACCATAAACCCGGACACCCTCCCACTGCTCCAGAACATCGCCGTCCAAATCCTGAAAATTGAAAACATTGCAAGTCAGAGGTGGACTGAATTACAAATGACATACGCTCAATACACAGTGAGCTCTATAGAATACCTGGAGCAAGAACTTCAGTCATTTGGCCTGTGAGAAAAGTGAAGCCAAGATGGCGGCCATTGACGTCCAATAGCTCTGAAGGTTTTAAACAGTTTTCATACCATTTTCCCCAGCAAATTCTAGTTTTTTTTCTAACGGACCGTATCGCTAATCAAGTTCTCAGTTCATAAAACCATGGTATTATTCTTTTTATTATTAGCATGACAAAATTACTGGATGCTGATTGGTTGAGAGGAGTACAATTATTTCATTAATTGTACTGCAGTACAATTAATGATTTTCTCAAAACAAACAAAATGGCGGAAAGGTATTTCAAACACAATGTGAAATGAAATTGCCGTGGAGGAACTAGATGAAAATACGAACAAAAGCACTAAATTTTGCTTGAACAAAAGAACTAAATGAAAATACAAACAAAAACATCAAATTTTGGATGAAAGTCTGGCAGGACTGGACTTTGGCTAGAGAATATGATGTTGACATTGAGAAGTACATATCCAATTTTGTCATGCTAATAATAAACAAGTAATTATGCAATGTTGCTCGTACAATTAGGGATTAATCCACTCGTACTATTAATCCCTAATTGCACTCGCCATCGCATGATTACCTATACAAATCGAAGTCAAAATACAAAATTTGGGCACACTCCTAGTTGACAAAAACAATAGAAATGAACTGGAACTAACAATTCCATCTTTGTCTTCATTTTTGGGACTCAAAAGTTCTCGCTCCAGTTATATATGGAGCTCAGTGTCAATACATTGTAGTCCAATCAAAATAAACTAGTTCCATTCTTACACATTGAAAGAACTGGCCTCTCAGTCCTCCAGCATAAAGTCGTTTACCATCAGGGTTCCATGAACAAACAGTCAGACTGTCTTCGGTAGCTTGTGTTGCTCGACATCGCAGAACTCCTGTCTATGTTGAAATATTCGAAAAATTATCAACCTCATTCGTACTAGAGATAGCGGGGAAGGGGGGATGATTGGGCATCGCATGTAGTTTAGGTTGAATATTTATGACTTGAAAATTTGAAGAACACAATAACACAAATGGTTCATTAAATTACCTCAATATTCCATACACAGAATTCGTTGCAGTCTTCAGGACCGCAGACAATGAGATGCTGATCATCAGGACTCCATGATATGTAGTATGCTCCTAGTTCATGACCATCTAACACTCGCAGTTTTTTAACATCATCTTCCTAAATATTCACATGTATAATACGCACATTGTTCAGTATTAACGTTAGACATGTTGCCTTATTCTGGTTTGGGTGAATGTAATCCTTAAAAAAAAATAGATTTTGTCACAATCCTAGCATGTTCATGGTGAAAACATTTAAAAATATACACCAGGGCATTACGGGGAAAGTCTGGCAGGAAGTGCAGACTTTCCAAAAGAGGCTCATCATTGCGGTCGCAATAAAAACTTTTTTTCTGCAGGGGTGCTGGAGATATTTGTTGGGTTTTTTTTAGGGGGGGCAGGGGAGAGAATGTGACCTCATGAATGTGATGCCAGAGGCCCAGTTAGCAAGGTCAGGGGTGTACTGTCACTACTGTGTGGGGTGCCACCCACACTTTTTAGAAAACTTGTCTGTAAAACGAAGATTATGTAGGAAAAACTGCGACTTGTCGGTAAATTGATTTGAATTGGTCAGTAAATTGATCGTTAAAATTGAGTTGGTCGATAAAGCAAAGAGGCTGTAGAGGAATACCCTCTCACTCGGAATGGCCTCAGTATGCCACTGAGCAAGGTATTAAACATCCAAGGCATTAGCCAAGTGACCGACAAAGTAATAGCTTAGTGTGGTGGGTATTTTACATTTATTCCATGACTTTTACTGAACTTGCTATACATTCTCTATTGACTTTCTCATTATACATCGGCTGCAAGCAATGGTGTTAAATAAATTGCACATTTTCATGTATATACATTGTAACTTTTCTCACCGTAACTTCCCAAATAATGACTGTGTTATCTTTAGACGCAGTTGCTAGCTTTGTACCATCATGAGAAAATCGTAAAAATAATACCTACAGTAGAAAGTTTTAAGTATTTCACATGTGTCTATGTACAAGTTGGATGGCCTAAATTTCGACCAAGTTTTGGTAAGAATCCCAAATCATAAAATAATAAAAACAACAAGACATGTGTATACAATTTTATTATGTACCTCATCGCAATGTTCTGTAAGAATGTGTTTGGTTTCACAAGGAAATTGCCTCCTAAAAAAACAAATTTGTGTCATAATATTGTTGCCAGACACCTCAGCATGGTTGCTAAGTTCTGCACAAGATCTACATTTACCGTACATATTTTAACCCATTGAGTGCTAGTTCTCTTGATGAGTAAAATTGTCTGGCACTAGACAGAGTTAGATAATAAAGTATGATCCAAGCAAACTTAATGGGTTAATTTCACCTCACATCCTTAGTAAAAAACATTCACGCTGCCTACCTTGCACATGTATGGTTGGTGAGTAATGAAAATGAGCTTGGATTAGGATCTAATTGCGAGTTATGATAAAGACATTTATTTCTTTGTAATTCTTGAGCTTGACAAAGTAGCGTGTAGAGTCGTCGTGGAGGAAGCATGATTGATGAAGGAAGAAACTCTGAAACAACACATTGAAATTATGAATGACACATAATACAGGCAAGAAACTTTCTGCAATAGCTCAGATTTACAAGAACTTTTGTAAAGTAGATAGGCTAACTGGCAATTATTTTCCACAATATGCAGGTTCCATCAAATACAATCATGCAATTACCAGGTTATTAACTCATTAGTGTGCATAAATCTCCTCTTGACGAGTAAAATTGTCTGGCATTTGACCAAGTAAAATGGTAAAGCCGGGTGCATTTGGGTGTATTGCAGCTTAACGGGTTAACAATGAAAACACACTGGCAGATAGTTTATTTAACCCATTAATGAGCAAACTCTCCCCTTGACGAGTAAAATCATCTGGTGTTAGACAGAATAAAATAATAAACTGAAAGTCAGGCACAGTTAGGCACAATGCTTCTTAATTTAACATAGGTTAAGAAAATGTTAATTGTTGTCATTATATGTTTTGTAATTGGAGGCAAACAAATACAATTGGAAGACATAGTTTAACTTTTATGCACCATCAGTACCAGCATTTCTGAATTCTGAAGTTGATCCTCATTGGATTTACCACTTAGTCATTGCTAACCTTGTATCTTCTCCATCAATCGCTGTCTAGATTGTTGACCTTTGCCATTCCATTTTGCTTTCCTATACAGCTCCTCATTATTGCTACACATTAACAACCTGAACATGGATATTACATTGTTTAACATAGACGTATTTTCTGGGGGTGCAGGGCGGTGCAACCCCCTCCAATATTAGCTATAACACCTCCAAACAAAATGTCCACCCCTCCAAAAAAAATTTCAACTCCCCCAATATTCGGCATAATAAATAAATAATTAAATAGTCCACTCCAACGTGCAGAGTGTTGATGATACAAAATAAACGTAGGAGTACACTTGAACAGAAAAAGACAGTGCAACACTCTGAAACTAATCACTCCTCGCTTGTATTCACTGGTTTATTGGAGCAATTGAAAAGTTTTGAAACTCTATTATCTTCCCTGAATAGAGTTTGCAGTGTCTTGTCATGCGAATAGCTTGCACGCAAGGAACGTTTGGAATTTTTATGAACACTATTTTTAGTTTTTAATTCTTTTAGGAAATAGACTTGCCTAGATTTAATCTTTATGCCCCAAATATTATTTACATCGGAGTTGCATCATAAATTGTACTCAAATTCAAACAACACAATGTCAATGACTTTATAAAAGTAAAAGCATATTGTGAATTGGCCTGTTGGGTTTACACTTTTACAGGTTCATTTAACTTTAAGTCTTTAACTCTCTCAAGTCTCAACAGACAATCGGACATGCCAAATCCATTGATATGACAAATTAATTGACAACTTCAAAAAACCTTTTTTCGAAGCTAGAAATCATGATTTTTTTCAAATTTTCCCTGGGGTACTTTGTTTTCTGCTCTCTAGACTCCCCCTCGTGGCTCTAGTGCTCCACCCCTAGAACATAGACCTTACTGGGGTTTGGTGACACTTTGTGTTGCTTCAGTCACCTGCTCGCGGCTCACCCCCCTAAAATTTCTGGCACCACCCCAGTAATAAATATGAAAATCCGTCTATGTTGTTTAACAACCATTATATGTCTGACTGGGATGTACTTGGCATTGTGCTAATGTTAGACAATTTAATTTATCTAAGTAAAGGGCCAACCATACCGGTACGGAAAGTGATGGTGGAAGGAATTTTCAGCTTGCAGTAAATTTTTCTGGCTGTTTGCTTGTGCAGGGAACTTTTTGCACAAAAGTATTTTCTTTGTTTCCTTTTTGCATAAATGTTTTGTCCCCCCCCCCCTCACTCCCCATCACTTTTGTATAATGAGATGCACATTGCAGATTTTAACATTAATTTTAAAACCGATTATTGTCCAACACTTTTGTCTTTACAGGTAAAATTGTCTGGCATAAGACAGAGTAGTGTGTATTGCAGCGATGGGATAACAAAATGAGCAGATAGTTTGGTTAACCCATTAACTCATTAATGAGCCCGACTCTCCCCTTGACAAGTAAAGTCACCTGGCATTAGCATTGTAGACTTGCTCTTGCTCAAATTGGCTTTGTGAACTGATCTCAAATAGCCTAGATGGACCCAATTGACCTTATCAAAAATGAGATAGATAGACCTTATAAAAAATGCAGCCAGTTCAAGAGACTGATAGAAGAGAACAATTGTCTGGGATAAAACAGAATATACCAAAGTCAGTGGGGCTTGATGGGTTAATATATTCAATGAGATTTTTTTATACTTGGTCATAAGTTTACATTGTGTTTATTATCCCTTTATATGCCATTGTTTTTCTTCCCTCCCCATAGGGGTATATCACACACAAAGGTCTAATCATTACAAATATGAATGAGTTTAGTTATTCAAATATGAATGAGTTTAGTTATTCTACTGATATTTTTTTCAAAACTGTATAAAGTAGAATATAATAAACAGAGTAGGGTTAGCATTAGAGTGCCTTGGAACTTGGTTAATATATTTAATGGGTTGGTATGTTGTTCATAATTGGTAATCTGCCATACGGAAATTTAATCTCCTCTATGTTGTTATAGTTTTAGCTTCTCTGCAGGAAAATATTATGTACAAAGGTATAATCATTAGAAATATGAATGACATATTCAATTTTTCATATTTTTCAAACCATAGAGACTACAATGGAATGTGAATTAAATATTCAAAGGCCAATACAATATGATGTGCTGTCAAGTGTCAATTCTATAAATCACAGATACTCAAGCTGTGTATTTGCCATTTAATAAGAATTATGCAAGCACTGAATACTTGCATTTACTGATCTAATCATTCAATTCAATAATTATGTCAGGAAATGCATGGAATAGCATCATCTTACATGACTGTTTATAGTAATGACCCCAGTTTAGTTTACCTACAACACCCCCATAACAATAAATCCCACACATAATTAGCAATTCATTTAATGCATAAAGATTGATGATTCAAAAATCGTGGTTGTTTAATGGTTATTATTAAAAGTGTGAAACATGTCTAGTCATGACAGACAATGGTATTTAAATAATGGTATAATAAACATACCACTACATATCAGGATTTTTGGCATAACATTCGACAGAACCAAATATTGGAGGGTTTTTGTGCATGGAAATATCAAGATTTTCATCTCGAGAAATCTCAAGATTTCCATCTGCACAAACTTTAAACATTCCACTACATACCCACAAAGACGATGAATTTTCTCCTTATTGCATCTGAGCGGCGTTATTTCACTCCGTAAACATCTCAAGGCATCCACAGACTTTCCACATTCGACAAATTCGAGAAATTTTTGCTCGAGGATCAAAAACTTCACTTTCTATTGGATGGAAAGTGAATAATTAGGTTTTGATGTTATCAAGGTGACATGACCTTTTATACATACAGTATGTGTGAATGCAGAATGCCAATAAGGAAAATTCTTGTATATGTAATAATACATGATAATCTGTGAAAAGATTTTCAAGAAGATAACGTAACATAGAGAAATGTTTTATACAATGAATTTAAAAAAAGTTTAATCAGCAAACCATTCAAAATAAACAAGATTTATTTGAATGAATACATTGCAAACAATGTCCTCGTACCTTCAACAGTTCTTCAGATGTATCTAAAAACGGCCTAACCTCTTTGAGGAAAGATTCAGCCTTACAAAGAAAAGGTGAAGCAGTTAATTTAGAAAAGGAAACAAGAAATTAACGAAGAAACAGAAAATAATTACAGGAAAATGCTGGCAATAAAATAAACATACTCTATCCCACTCGCCAGATAAAATGCTCTCCCTAAACTTTATAGCAGATTGATGTTCAAGCCTACAGCCAGATTCTTGCATCAACAAGTCGGCTGATTTACTAGGAATAAAAATTAAAACTCTGGTTACAATCTGTGCAATATTAAACCACGAAACAGCACAAAGTAGCTCACAGAAAATACTTGGATGTCATTCAAAACAGTGGCGTTCTACTCACTTTAAGCCAAGTCCACGCAAATGTTGACCTATTAAACGCACTGAATCCTCTTCAAACTTCGTAAATGTTTTCTGTTTCGCTTGGTTTGATGGTATTTTGTGTTTGGAAGCAGAAAGTAGCTCGCCATTCGAACTTGGTTCACATTCATCGACATCAACATCTCCCAAATGTGCTCGTCTCCTATGCATTTCAGACGCCAAGCTGACGGTCGTTCGAGCCTTTTTACGTGGTGGGGGAGACGGACCACCTTCCAGATGTTCCTCTTCAGAAGAGGCCAGGGTAGCACAACAAAATCCTCGCAGCCAGATCCGAGGAATCGACAAAGATATATTTTTTCTCTCGCTTTTCCACTAACCGACCTTCGGCTAGAATATAAACAACAAAGACAATTCTCTTCGGCGCAGTGACGTCACATCGTGGTGTATACAGGAAGTGGACTGGATACAAAGTGATAATTTGTACGTAATAAATCATTTATTAACTCATTATTTAAAACAAAACAAGAATGATATTATTTCTACGTTTTGGGTTTAATTATTAAACATCATCATTAACATCAAGCACAAGGAAACTTCGGATTGATAGGGATGAAACTACCTGAAAAATACAAGGAGGACTTCGACGTCCCGACAAACAGTGCGCAGCCAGCCCAACGATTTGGTCCTTGGGCTTGGGCCGTCCTTCCCACTGTGGCCCGGCATATTTTTCAAGCGTGCCCGGTGTGGATATATACACTTAGAGTAACATCGCAAGCATCTTCATTATTCATTTCGTATCATTAATATTCATTTCTTCAGAAATTGTGTTGACAGTTTATAAACATTGCAATATTTGCACAGAGGGACTGAATTGAATAGTTGGGCTGGCTACGCCACTGCCTACAAAGGGCCTTTGCTCGAAGCGTCGAAACTGTGCGTCGAAGTCACATACTGTGTCGAAGTTCTCCTTGTATTTTTCAGATAGTTGCATCCATATCAATCTGAAGCTTTCTTATTATTGCCACTAACTACACTGCCCGTTCTTAAATTAACATCAACCTATTTTAAATCGCAATACGGGCCAATGTACCCTTCCGTACCCAGGATCTTTCTTTGGGACCTTTTTCCTAGTTTTACTCTTGTAATGCTTTATTTGTCACCGGATAATCTTGCTCTAACTTAACTTTCCTTTCACGATTTTACTCGCGAAAGAGAACATTTGCGCATTAAAACCAGGGATTCATTTATATGAAAATGTTGACATTTTTGTGGGAGGGCACAGCATGCCCTTGTTGCCCCGTGATAAACCGCATCAAACAATGAATAAATTACACGATTTTCATCAAACATGTCGTATGTTGTGTAAAATACACGATTGTATTGTATTAAATTGACGATGTAAAGTACAAGATTGCAATTTGTGGCGCCATTTCAACATGGGATGTGGGCCTTCGCGGGAGGTCATAGTGGTGTGTATATACGTTTTTTTTGTATTTGGGTAAATATTGTGTATCGAGTGTTATCGTACTTTGAAGAAAGTCAATTTTGTCTTGCTGCAACAACTCCAACAAGGAAGAAATTATAGTGATTACAAAATTGTGATGCAATTATAAACTGTAAACCAAATGGTATTAATTCGTAAGCCTTTGCTGTAAATTAAACCATATATAATATATCCTTCGTTACAGTAATGTTTGTGACGTCACCTGAATCTCTGTGACGTCATAGTCTTCCTGGACAATTTTCATGTTTATGGTAGAAAACCTGCAGTTTTCAGAGTTAAAAATGTTTTTATTAATTATTTTCATTATACCTGATAGTTGAGTATTTGGAGGCAAATAAAATAGACTTCCTCTTGCAGAAAAGAAACTTCTTATCATTTTCAAATATTATAATTTATTTTATTAGATACAAACAGAAAATCGACCAGCAGGTCCAGTAGTAGTTCAAAGTTCAACTGTAGGATATGCACAACCAGGTACAAACAACTGTTCCGATCCCAACTTTCTCCTGTGCCTGCTATTAATACCGCCTGCGACGCAGGCTAGGGCAGGCTCTATTCCTAAAATTTGGCCCCAAACAGACAGAGGCGTAGCTAGCCCGTCAATTTAGTCCCGCTATGCAAATTCAAAAATATTACATTATTCATTTCTTTAGGAATTGATTGTTTTCACAGTCAATGAACACGAAAATATTTGCATAGTGCGACTAAATATCATCGGGCTGGCTATGTTACTGCAAAAAGAGTATTTTCCCTTTTACGTTTATCTCCACAGTTAGAAATGACGCATTTGATTAAGAAAGATGCACACACATCAGGAACATACAACACATCCTCACAACTGTTTAGCGGCTGTGCGCAGGCTACTACAAATGTTTGACCATAGGCCACTTTCTACAGTTGGGTTTAAATATTTTTTGTGCATCTTAATATGCCTTCTTGGCCTCGTTCTGGTCATAAAATTATATTTAATTTCAGTCACGGCCAAGAAAGTCTGGCTGTGTTACGAAAGTGATCTATATGGACACATGTTATTTTCTCTCAATCAGATTACCAGCAAGTACCACCACAATGCATGGCAGCACCATGTGGACCTCGACCAGCTGGGTACCCTCAGCAAAGGCCACCATATGTTTGCCCGCAAGATCCACCTCCTCAAGGTTACCCACCACAGTATGGTTATAAACACCCAGCACCAGTTCATGTCTGGAACTGAATTTATAATGAGTTACTGACTATAGTTGATTAGTATTCGTATGTTTATTTGTTATTGTTTAGTCGTATTACGTGATTAAATGGCATGATACAGCATGTTTTCACATTTTTGTACTTTATATATTTTGTATTCTTCTGTGGTGTATATTCAATTACAAAGTTAATACGTTCATTTTCAGTCCTTTTGGTCTCTTTTAATACCATAGACTGGGAGGGGGGACTTGTCACCCCCAGCCCTTGTTTTGCCCCCTCCAGTGAACTATGTTGCCCCTCCCACCCCCCACCCCCCAGTGAAGGTCCTTTCTGTCAAAAGTATAAGCAAAATGGGAAGAATAACTTAGTGAAGAAGAGTATTTTAATATTCCTATGAACAAATCTTTGTCTAGTACTACTCTAGAGGATGAAATTTATAAAAAAAATGCGTCTAAAATTGCCGAATATCAAGGCTAAAAGCTTGGCAGTACAGTAGTACAATACAAAATACAAAATTACCATATTACCAGGGGCGGCGGAACAGGGGGGCTAGGGGGGCTAAAGCCCCCCCCAGAAGTAAAAGTGGGGGGGGGGCTTAGCCCCCCAAGAAAATTTGAATTTTTTGAAAAAAGTTTGATAATTAGGGAAAAATTTAGGTTATTTTTTGAAAATTTAGGTATAAGGGGACAAATTTGCAATATTTTGTTTAAAAAAAGTGTGTTTCCGTGTATTTTTCGTCCCTTTTTTTGTATATTGTACCCCTAAAGTGGTACACTGACCGAAATTTTTTTGGCGAAAAAACTTTTCCCGTTCACCACCTCCTAGTTGGGTCCCTTTCTCTTCATGGTCCCTCCACTCACAAATCCTTAAGAGGCCCTGTTTCAGTCCTCATTTCAACAGTTCAATACGCCCAACAACCAGGCAATGAATAAAGAAGAAAGTACGAGGAGTATCTCAAGGATCACAGAAATGATGGCACAAGTTCAGACAATGATTGGAACTCATCAGCAGCAGAAAGCAAAAATATCAACGATGTCGTGGTCTAATTAGACTGATAAGAATGATATTATTTCTATACAAAAGCATAAAATCCACTTACGTACTTTATATATACTCTCTCACTTTTTGGATTAATTACAGGTAACGTCAAGGAAAAGAAATCTTCGGATGCATAGAGATGCAACTACCTGAAAAATACAAGGAGAACTTCGACATCCCGACAATTCGACAAAGGGCTTTTGCTTTAAACGTCGAAGTTCTCCTTGTATTTTTCAGGTAGTTGCATCCCTATCAATCTGAAACTTTCTTATTATTGCCACTACCTCCACTGACATAGACCGCGTTCTGAAATTAACATCAATTAACCTATTTACATCGCAATACGGGCCAAGGCCCAATGCACCTCTTTTTTCTAGTTTTACTCTTGTAATGTTTTGTCACCGGATAATCTTGCTCTAACTTAACTTTCCTTTCACGATTTTACTCGCGAAAGAGAGCGCATTTACGCATTAAAACCAGGGATTCATTTATACGATGTTGACATTTTTAATTTTGTGGGAGGGCACAACATGCCCTTGTTGCCCCGTAACCGCATCAAACAATGAATAAATTACACGATTTTCGTCGAACATGTCGTATGTTGTGTAAAAACAGTAAAATATATGTATTGACGATGTAAAGTACAAGATTAAGCTGCAATTTGGGACTATGAATACAAAAGAGAACGAGAACTAAAGTTGTTTTTCTTACTCGCCATTTCAACATGGGATGTGGGTCTTCGCGCGAGGGCCGAGTGGTGTGTATACGAACTTTTTTTGTATTTGTGTAAATATATTTGTCTATCGAGCGTTATCGTACTTTGAAGAAAGTCAATTTTGTCTCGTTGCAACAAGGAAGAAATTAAAATTCTCATATGTAGTGATTACAAAATTGTGATGTAACTATAAACTGTAAACCAAATGGTATTAATTCGAAAGTCTTTCCTGTCAATTAAACCATATATATCCCAGTTACGTCACTTGAATCTCTATGACGTCATCGTTTTCCTGGACGTTGGTTTCACCATGGTAGAAAACTTGCAGTTTTCAGAGTTGTGTATTTGGAGGCAAGTAAACTAGACTTCCTCCTGCAGAAGGTCACTTCTTATCATTTTCAAATATTATAATTTATTTTATCAGATACAACCAGGAAATAGACCAGCAGGTCCAGTGGCAGTTCAAAGTTCAACTGTAGGATATGCACAACCAGGTACATACAACTGTTCATCCCAATTTTATCCTGTGCCTGCTAATACCACCTGCATCGGGCAAGCTCTATTCCTCAAATTAGTTTCGTTTTCCTTATTTCCTTTGAGCTTTGGTGTGATCCAAACAGAGTATTTTCCCTTTTACATTTATCTCCACAGTTAGAAATTAAGCATTTGATGAATTAAGGTGCACATGCAGGAACATACAACACATGCTCACAACTGTCGAGCCTGCAAGCTAACAAATGTTTGACCATAGGCCACTTTCATGACACAGTTTGATATAGTTGGGTTTAAATATTTTTATGTGCATTTTAATATGCCCAAGAAAGTCTGTGTGTGTTACGAAAGTGATCTATATGGATACATGTTATTTTCTCTCCTCAATCAGGTTACCAGCAAGTACCACCACAACGCATGGCAGCACCATATGGGCCTCGACCAGCTGGGTACCCTCAGCAAAGGCCACCATATGTTCGCCAGCAAGGTCCACCCCCTCAAGGTTACCCACAACAGTATGGTTATAGACAACCAGTTCAATACGCCCAACAGCAACCAGGCAATGTGGTGATTAATAATCAAGGGAACAATAGATCCGGTGCAGGTGACATGATGCTTGGTATGGCTGTTGGTGCAACTATGGCAAACTCAATGCACCATCACCATGGTTACGGGTATGGTCATGGTGGCGGATACCATGATCACGACACAAACATTAATGTTTATGAACATAACGAGTATAATTATGAACAAAATGAATACGGTGGTGATACTAATGTAGAAAATTATGGTGGTGGTGGTTATGATGATGGTGGTTTTGATGATGGTGGTGGCTTCGATGATGGTGGTGGCTTCGATGATGGTGGTGGCTTCGATGATGGGGGATTTGATGGTGGCGATTAAAAACCATCACATACTTAAAAATTCATCTTTTTGTAAAATCAATTTTATGATTTGAATACAGATGTATTTGAAATAGAAATGCACACCTGTCCTAACAATTGTTGGATTAAGACATTTTAATAAATACCAAAACCTCATGTACATTCTCTATCAGTAACATACTGAATATGTAATAATTAAATCTGTAACAAATTATTTAATTCAATTAATTAATTAGCCTAATTAGTTCCAAATTAAAGTGCTAATTAACTAAATCCCAGACTCCGACGCGTAATCAACAGTGGTTCAACAAATTCAATATGGCGGCCAAACATGTGGAAATTTCAGATATTGCAGCAAAAAACTTGGTAGAGAATGCTGTTGAACTTGGATTTGTAGAAAAAGTAGAAAATCCTGTCGTTCTTACGACTCCTTTCTTCCCTAGTAAAATTGGAGGGAAGCCTGCTTGGCTTGCGTTGACTGGACTACCCTCGCAAATCTTATGTAAAAACTGTGAGAAACAGATGGTATTTTTATTGCAAGTTTACGTGCCATCGGAGGACGAGAAAAGCTCGTCATATCATCGAACAGTGTTTGTTTTTTGCTGTAGAAATGGCGCGTGTTATACGTTAAACTGTAATAAGTGTTTCACAGCGTTCAGATGTCAGCTGACAAGAGAAAATGAGTTCTACCCCACCAACTTCAGTTTCCAAGAACAAGATAAAATATTCCAGGAATTTAAGGATCGCAAGGCTGGGGTGGGGTCTGGTTGGACAAAGTTATGCAAGGTGTGTGGGTGCCGGGGGGGAAAATTGTGCGGAAAGTGTCATGGAGTACATTATTGTAGCAAAGAGCATCAGGCCGTTGATTGGAAGACTGGGCACAAGTTAGTGTGCGGGACTGGTGGACAGAATACTAATCAGGCAGGTAGGTGGTAGAACAATCTCATACCCAGAGCCATCGTTGACTGGACTATTGCTCTGGGCATGAGATTGGTGGTAGAATAGATCTGATCATTTAATTTAACAAAGAGTTTATGCCTGTTTATACCTATGTTACCACTGATTCACATGTTATGTTTGTTATGCCAAGGCATG